CCAAACCCTAATAACTCACTCATCGCTTTTCCGATGCCGGTACCTGAAGTCGACGGCGTTCTCAGTTTGACAGAAGTTATCTCCTCTCTCCTCGACCGTATTCCCAAGCTTCTCAGCTTCAAGTGCAAATGGTCTTCGATTCGCGCCAAACTCGGCGATCTCAGGACTCAGCTCGCCGATTTCTCCGACTTCGCTGGCTCTTCTTCCAACCAGCTTGCTCTGGATCTTCTTCTCTCGGTTCGAGAGACGCTAGATGACGCGGTTTCCGTCGCGGCGAGGTGTGAGGGACCAGATTTGGCGGAGGGAAAGCTCAAGACGCAGAGCGAGGTTGACTCGGTCATGGCCAGGCTCGATCGCCATGTCAAGGATGCTGAGGTTCTGATCAGGAGTGGTCTTCTGCAGGATAACGGCATCGTCTCGAGATTTTCGATTTCGTCTAAGAAGGAAGCGGTTCGTTTAGAGGCGAGGAATCTGGTTATCCGATTGCAGATCGGTGGACTAGAATCGAAGAATTCGGCAATTGACTCGTTGCTTGAACTACTTCAGGAAGATGATAAGAACGTGATGATCTCAGTGGCTCAGGGAGTTGTCCCCGTTTTGGTTCGGCTTCTCGATTCGAGCTCTTTGGGTATGAAGGAGAAGACTGTGGCTGTAATTTCTAGAATCTCGATGGTAGAGAGCAGCAAACATGTGTTGATAGCTGAAGGATTGTCTCTCCTGAATCACCTCCTACGGGTCTTGGAATCAGGAAGTGGATTCGCTAAAGAGAAGGCTTGTATTGCTCTTCAAGCCCTAAGTTTGTCCAAGGAGAACGCGAGAGCAATCGGTTGCAGAGGAGGGATTTCGTCTTTACTTGAAATCTGCCAAGCCGGGACCCCTGGCTCACAGGCTTTCGCCGCCGGAGTCTTGAGGAACCTAGCTTCATTTGCAGAAACCAAAGAGAATTTCATCGAGGAAAACGCTATGTTCGTGCTTATTTCTCTGGCTTCTTCAGGTACGCCTCTTGCTCAAGAGAATGCAGTAGGATGTTTAGCTAATCTAACATCTGAGGATGAGAATCTGATGATAACGGTAGTTAGGGAAGGAGGAATTAAATGTCTAAAGAGTTTCTGGGATTCTGTTTCCAATGCTAAGAGCCTTGAGGTAGGAGTTGTGCTTCTGAGGAACTTAGCTTTGTGCCCTATTGTCAGAGAAGTTGTTATCTCCGAAGGATTTATCCCTCGTTTGGTTCCAGTGTTGAGTTGTGGGGTTCTCGGTGTGAGAATCGCAGCTGCCGAGGCTGTTTCTTCCCTAGGTTTCAGCTCGAAAAGTAGAAAAGAGATAGGTGAAAGCGGATGCATCGGTCCATTGATTGATATGTTAGATGGTAAAGCTACGGAAGAGAAAGAAGCAGCTTCTAAAGCTCTGTCAACCTTATTGGTGTGCACAAACAACAGAAAGATCTTCAAGAAGAGTGACAAGGGTATACTCAGTCTTGTTCAGCTCTTGGATCCGAAGATTAAGAAATTGGATAAGAGATTCACAGTCTCTGTGTTGGAACTACTTGTAACTTCTAAGAAATGCAGGAAACAAGTCGTTGCTGCTGGTGCTTGCTTGCATTTGCAAAAGCTTGTGGAGATGGATGTTGAAGGAGCTAAGAAATTGGCAGACAATCTTGCCCGGAGTAAGATTTGGGGCGTCTTCGCGAGGCCATAAGAGACTGCGGATACGTTATTAACATGTATGTAAGACGCATGTATTTTCCGGATTGCGATTCTGTGTTTCCTTGCTTTTCACTATATGTTGTTTGGTGAGTTGATTGTTTGTTCATAAGGCTTGGCTGATTGAAGTAGGGAGAGAGTTAATTGCTGATTAGTCTGTAGACAAAAATAAAATATTTGTAGAGTTTGTAGTCCTCTTTTTTATTTTATTTTTTCTTGGTGAGCTAATCATATCAGAGTTTGATTCTTCAACTTTTTTTGTTCTATGTCCTCTAAACCACAGAAAGCTGATCCTCTCTCAAGTGGTTGATTGATTTTATCTAAACATAGGAACAGTCTAATGACTCTTCAGTGTCTTCAATCTGAAATTGTTTTGTTGCATATTCTAAGTTGGATTACGGTGGCATGTCCTGTCTGATTTTATAAACATAAACCAAATAATGCTGGTCGAAAGCACATGGCATTTGTACCTTTCTCCAAATATATTCACAAACTCTCAATTTGTTTCTCTTGTGGCCCCATGTATGATTGTTACGGCCGTTAAGTTCTTTGGCACAATCCAATTAGTAAATCACCAATCCGAAATCTGCACATGGATCTGTTACTGTTGGTTGTTCTCTAGCTACTGTTTTGGGATCATTAACTCTAATACAATCCTATACAGCTAAACGTGGAGTCTTTGTCTCGGCGAGACAGACAAAGAAAAGTAAACTGTGAATGTAAGAGTTCATTTTTTCTCTACAAAATGTTGCAGATCAATTACAACTGATGATCTTTTCTTACATTTATGTTGTTACATTGCTGATGAAGTGTTAGATCAAACCATAAAGAGAAAAAGAGGGAATGCATTATTGAACGATGGGAATCGGTCTGTTACCATCATGCTGAAAAAGAAACGGGTGAAACTCTGCGATGTTTACTTGATACTGTATAATGACTTGAGTTGCTGACTGATCAACCTGCTGCTGTGAATAGCTGATTGAAGCTCTAGATTATCTGACCACCATTGTTCTAGCCCGTGCGCCTCGACAAAGTTCTGTTTCCCTTTCGACATTACGAAAAGCTTTGCTGCTGCTTGTGAATTAGTGTTTACAACAGGACCATTGTTCTCCTTGTTGTTCACTTCTCTCTTCTCTGTTACCCCATCCTGGTCAGTGTAGTGGCAGCAGATGTAGTCGCTATCGTTTACATATAAATGGGGCACCCATTTTCTCATATCCACAGAAGCTTTCTGATTCTGCCCGTAGAAACTAGGTACCCAGTTCCTGAACCCTGAAACACTGCCAGGAGAAATCTCTCCTACATTATCATTCGGCAGCAAAGGCTCGTTTCTGGGAGGAAGCATTGACATGAGTCTTTTCCAAGCAACACCGGCCTTTTCACCGATGTTTCTCAAGCTCATAGCGAGAGATATAGAAGGTGGATTGAACAAATGAGCATCCACAAACAGCCCTTCTTTCGCCAAGGCTTTACCAACTTGTAAAGCAAAACCAGCTCCTAACGAATGTCCCACAATACAGACATTACTGCTCCCATATCTCTTTGCTACTGATTGCAGCGCCTCCAGAGCGACATTAAACCTCACAGAACCTTTAAGGCTCTCCCAAGCTAAAAACCGGAGATCATCTTCAATGTCACGTCTCATTGTAAGACTCTTTAGTATGGTTCCTCGCAGTGCAAGTACTGCTTTTGGTGCTCCACTGGGTCTGATGACGACCAAATCTGCCATTGCAGCTGCTCTGTCCCATTCAAGAACAGCGCCAAATATAGATCCATCTCTCTCGTCAATCAGCGTTTGTGATAACTTGTACTTGAAAGGAATCCACCATTTTGGGGCGAGAGCGTTTTGCTCGTTTCTGTTCTCTTGTCTGTCGAGTTCAAGCAAGTATGCTGCTTGAATAAAGCATGCCATTACTGTTCTCTTGTAGTTGGGGTCCTTCCTACATATGCAGAAATTCGACACACTGAGACGTTAGGCATTACATAGTAAACAGATTCTTCAAAAATCAATACTTGCAGAACGAAAAAAAAAGGGTATGCATTACATGATTAGCTTCAGACAACAACATATAAATGTAATTAGTTTAAGCACAATGCTAGGCAAAGTTTAGCTTGTTCCTAATTAGATCATCAAGTAGAAGCAGAGTAGTGAATAAACAACAGATAAAGTTGAAAAAACATAAAACCCACAAAATTCAACCAAATCGAGTTTTCAATCCTTTAAGATCCGAAAATAGAAACAGTGGGTTTTTTTTTTTTTTTTGGCTGCAATCCTCGTTGTCTATGTTGAAGTTATGTCTCAAAAATCCAATTAAAAAAGTGTTAAAAATCAATCAAGGAAGAAACCCAAAACAGAGGAATCAAAGTAGGGACTTACCAACTGGAACTGATGAGATCTCTCCAGTTAGGAGAAGCTACGTTTCGCGGTCCGGAAACGTGAAACGCATAAGGGTGATGGGTTTCCTCCTCTTCCTTCACCATCACCGTCTTCGGAGTCATCGGCATAGTAGCCACGGCGGCGGCTGCCATTATCGCCACCGCTTCGGATTCCGTAATATCTTCTTCCATCATCGCCGCCACACGATTCGCTGTCAACAAGAATAATGGATTTAGGGTTCCTCTCTCTAACCCAACTACAGAATCAGAGCACACTATTCTCTCTCTTTCTCAGTGGGTTTTTGGAATTTTACTCTGGAGAAACGCAATGCAAGTGGGTAGTATATTCGAATTCGATCGCTAAGGAATCGGATTCCAGTGGTGCGTTGCAACGAAAATAAATTTAGATTTGTGAATTTCTCTTTAATTTTTAATAAATGTTTTGAAACGCCTGAGATTTGCGGATCTATCAAACGGTCATCTCCTTTTTGTTGTCGGCTTCTTTGTAAATTCCATATATACCCTTCTTTTTTAGGTTTGTGAGGACCTTTGCTTAAAACAGGGTGGGAGGCTGGAGCCAGAACTGCAAGCGCGTATATGAGCGTTTTTTGTTTTTTTTAATCTCAACTTCATCATTAACCAATAATTCAGTACAAACTTGGCTTTTCAACTAGTAATCTGTTTTAAGCTTTAACCATTGGACACAAATATAATACTACAACTTACACATGTAAATTTAAAGAAACAAATAAAAATCCTTTCGTATCCTATCCGCCGCATTATTTCTTTCTCCAGGTCTAAATACTATCTTGAAATCCTTGATCATACACAACAAACTTCAGATATCATCTAACACCAGCAGTCCAAGCAGAGACCCAGGTATAAGCGTTACACGTGTATGAGTTTTTTAGGAATAATTATATTATGGCACATTTTTTTACAAATTTCTTACTTTTGATCCAAGACACACTTTTTTAATAT